TAATTACATGTCCCATCACTACAGTATTGTTTTGTTTTTAGTGAATCTTCCGAGCAAGTTGCGAAGGGCAATTGTAATCGAACAAAAGGCATTTGTTGCCTACATAATTATAGTTTTAAATGGAGAATATTTCAAAAAAGTAATTTTTAAATTTCAAAATCCTAAAAGATCACATGAATTTAACAAATTCCAAATTTGTCATGATGATTAAATTTGAATTTTGAAATATTGGTAAATTTATAAGTTTATTTTAAGATTTTTTATTTTTTATAAAAATCTTAAGTTCCCCTCACTAGTTGGTTGATCAGCTGTCGACAACCCATGCTAGACTTTAGGTGGGTCATTAGGTACTAAAGTTTCAATGACTAGCAACTTTTTTTTTATAAATTTTTCAATATTTGCAATGTGATTAATACTTTATAACAATTTCACAACTTCATTAACACAATTAAACATGTATTTTTTTAGATTTTTAAATTGACATTTTTTTAAACATTTGTAACATGATTAATAACTCTTATAATGATATTTACAACTTCCTTAACTCCATTAACCATATGTTTTTTTCCCAGATTTTTAGGCTAGGATTTTTTTCAGGCTATTTTTTTCAACATTTATAATGTGAATAAAAACTCTTATGATAATATTCACTACTCTATTAACACTATCAACTAGCTTATATGATAGGGCATAGCTATACATATATATTTTGGTTGAAAGGAATTAAGGCAGGGATCTTTGAAAATACTGTGTCTGTATTTGTAGTCTTTTTATTTTTCATGCTCATTAGCTAGACCATCTAGGTAACTAGTTTGGATGAGCGCCCTAACCTTATCAGATTTGGACCATCTAGATCTAATAACGGTTGAGATTTAAAATTTTTAATTAATAATAGAAAAATTATTCCTTAAAAAAATAATAGTTAAGATATTGTTTTTATTTTAGATTCCATACTTGTTAAAATAGTTATTAATAAAAATAAAAAAATCAAATATGAATCGCTCAAATCATATTTGTACGGTCCAAATTTGATAAGTTTGGAGTGCTCAACGTAATAAACTTCCAAAGTAGGTCCGATCATCCACACTGCATTTAACCCACTTTGATGCCTGTTGATGCCTGTTGTACATGAAATATAGCACTATATATTTATATCCCTCTAATGAATATTTGATTTATAAGGAGCTCATAAAGTTTATTGATCGTATTAATATATATTTGAATTTAATAGTATTTCATTTAATTAACAGTTTAGACCATGCACATGGAGAGTACCACCTTGAGTTGTTTGCATATCGAAACTCCGCCTGTGTGCGCTTTACAACTCGTATGGAAGGGCGCATTCGGTTTGGAATAGCCAATGGTGTATACGATGGCGGGCTCCGAAAATAAATGTAAAAGTGGTCCATCTAGAGCTACCTGTACGAGAGTGTACAACTGCGTATTATATAAATATATATATATTTTCTGATCTCTAAGAATATATATATACTCCTCCGGTTATTAATATAAAAACTAATTATTAAATTGATCTTGATTTTAAATATAAAACTTATTTCTCATATTTAATAATTTTTTTTAAATTATCCTTGTGAATACTCCCTTAACCATAATCAAATAGAAGATAGAGATGATATTAAGGAAGATGATTATGGTACTTTAGAAAAATATGTCATATTTCTTATAATTAACTAACTTACCTAATTTCTTTAATCTAATCAAATTAATTAAATAGGTCTTATATTAAGGATCAGAAGAATATATAGAGTACATCACCCAAAAAATACCCTCCACCCCCTTCCAAAGATACTTAAAACACGGTGGGCTATATCTTGTAATTTTTGATTAATTTGAATTTAAAAGACAAACAATCCAACAAATAAGAAATAGTGTAAAAGTAAAAACAAAAGTAGAAACAATTAGATTTAATAAGACCATAAGAAAACTAGCCAAGTTTTGCAAAAATGATATCGATTCATATTAGTTGGTATAATAAAAACATATTTGTTAGATAAACTTTAAAATTATTCGTTAAACAGATAAATAAAAAAAAAGTATAAATTTAAAACAAATATGGTAGCGATTAACACGAATAAAGATCTATGCAAATATAAGTATTTAGATGACAACACAATGAGAACTTGAAATAGTATAGATTTGGATGTGATGAGCACCAATCCTGACACCATGAGTACAGGTCTGGATGAACAAGCATAGATCTGGATGGTGTGAGCATGAATCTCTAGCTGACAATCATGGAGAAGTCAATGAACTTGAAGATGACGATGAGTATGGAGAAGATGATGCGCTGTAAAGGAGAGGAGCACAAAAAAGATGTCATAACCCAAAGAAAAAGAATATGACAAACAAGACTAGCGTTGATATTACTGATGAATGAAGTATAGAAAGGAGATTGTAAGAAAACTTAAAATGATTACAGAAGAATAAAGTTTGGTTTAGAAGAGACAACCACAAAATGAAATAGGTTAAATTTTTAGATTTTAAATCATCTTTTAAAAGCTTGAAAATATTATTTTTTAAAAAAAAATATTTTTAAAATTTTTTATATCAATTGTAATGAATATCCAATTTAAAAAGCATATTTTAGATTAAATGTATAAGAAATCAGTCTAAAAACTTGTAAAAATTATGTTTTAAAAAAATTTATTTTTAATACCTTGTATATCAGTTACACAAACAACTAATATAAAAAGTATACTCCTCCGATCTTTAATATATGACCAATTATTGAATTGGTTTGATCCTAAATATAAGACTTATTTTTCATATTTATCAATTTTCTCTAAATTACCTTTATGGATACTTCTTCAATCATAATCAAGTAGAAGAGAAAGAAGGGGTATTAAGAAAAATGAATATGATATTTTAGAAAAAACGTGTCACATTTCTCATAATTAACTTACTTACCCAATTTCTCTAATCTAATCAAATTAGTTAAATACGTCTTATATTAAGGATCGGAAGCGTATTTTTTTCACATGGGTTGTATATGCAAAATCAATTTGAAAATCCATCAATATTTATAAAAATGCTGGTTGTTGCATTTTTTAACACTGCTGTTGCAACAAAGGATGTAAATTAAACTATATAAAAGAATTTTTTCCAGTGATAACGCGACAGCCGACATCCGACGTACTAATTCTTAAAAGATATAAGACCGAAGCCAAGACCCAGGCCTACTTGAAGCATAGAGCTGTACAATTTGCATGTGCATGTGATTGAACTGGGCCACTTTGAAAGTGACCAAAGCTAACGCATGTAATAGAAATAAGATATTTACTTATATATTTAATTTTAGATCATTTTTATTCATACTCTTCTGTTTCTAAATATAAAACCCTTATACACACTATAAAAAGAATCTTATATTTAGGACAGGAGAAGTACATATATATTTGAAGACGGCATTTTTGTCAAAAAGTTATAAACAATAAAACGAATTACCCCAAATGTTATATGATGAAAAGTATTTACTCAGATGCTGTATTTTTTGAAACTCAGGCTATGAACGAGTTATAGACTGGCATCTATTTTTTTTAAGATAAAAAAGTGAAACTCATTCATCCCATTTTTCTATTTTTTTCTATTTTCGGAAAATTTACAATGAATGACCCATTTCAGCAATTTCCTACTGCGATTCAATTCTTTCGAAGTTTGGAGAAAATTTCAACCCACAACCCCATCACTTCAGGTCTCCTATTCTATGTCTTCGTAGAAGGAATATAAATAGATTTTGCATAAAAACATTACTTTTTATTCTGTACTTATATTCAGGAAAAGAATATAAATAAATAATACTCCTCCGGTCCTAATTATAAGACCCAATTGACTTATTTGAGGAGATTAAGGAAGTAAGTTAAGTTGGTTATTTATAATAAATAAGTATTATCATTCCTAAAATATCCTTGCTAATTAAGTATATTGGCTAAAACTATTATTATTAGAAGGATTATCTTGGAAAAAAATGCATAAATATAAGAGACAAAATGGATTGGGTCTTATAATTAGGACCAAATAAAAAGTCAAATTGGGTCTTATAATAAGGACCGGAGGAGTATAAATATAAAATATTTATAAGTCATATATAATATATCCAGAATCTCCACGTATTTAATTATAAAATACACACTTATCAATTTCTATCTTTATCATCATTACTCAACAATATTAAAATCAAGGGTCTTATCGAGGAAAAAAACTTAATCTCCTCATAAATTTTAAGAAATAGCTTTTTATAAATAAAAATAAAAGTTACTTATATATTGAGAATTAAGTGCTTCTTGTGTCACACATGATATAAGAAAATTTAGTGTTTATTTATCAAATTATTTTAAGAAATTTTGTGCACTTAAAATTTTTAATATTTTTATTCATTAGAAGCTATTTCATGAAACCTACAAAGAGGTTAAGTTTTTTTCACAATAATACCCTTGATTTTAATATTATTGAGTAATGATGATAAAAATAGAGATTGATAAGTATGTATTTTATAATTAAATAGGTGAAAATTTTGGATATATTATATATGACTTATAAATATTTTACATTTATATTATTTATATATTTTTATCCCGAATTTAAGTACAAGAATAAAAGGTATTTTTTTATGCAAAATCTATTCATATCCCTTCTATCTAGATGGAAACAGGAAAAAAAAAAAAAAAGAAGAGGGGAGGAGATGTGAAGTAATGGGGTCGCGGGTTGAAACTTGCTCCAAAATTCAGAAGAATTGAAGTGAGGTAAAGGATTGCAGGAATGGGTCATTCGCTGTAAATTTTTGCCAGAAACGAAAAAGTGGGATGTCTGTGAACGAGTTTCACTTTTATCTTAAAAAAATTAGATGTCAGCTTGAAACTCATTCACAGCCTGAACGAATTTCACAAAATGCAGGGGTAAATACTTTTCATCGTATAGCATTTAGGTAATTTGTTTTCCTATTTATAGCATTTTGACAAAAATGCCTTTGAAGAGAAAGATAGACTAGAATTGCCTAGATAATAAAAACCGATGTTCTTTTTGAATAAGCAAGATATTGTTCAGATAACACTCTTGAGAAGCCAAATGAAGAAGGTACTCTCACTAATCTTCCTCATGTGGATGGCCTTACTAGTTCTTGCAGATCTGAGCATGGCAACTTCAGAGAACGTTAACAACAGCTTCATCATCAGCACCTACCGCCGCGGCTCAGCCGACTGCCTTATCGGAGACGACAACATTGAGGGCGTCAATGGGTTGCTGATGAATTCTCATGGAGGCAGAATGCTTTTGGATACTCCAAAGTTGAAGACTCCAGATACAGGGAGCAAGAATGAGCCTGCTGTGCCTTGTCCTTTAAATACTAGATGCACAGGTACAAGCCGCCTTCCACCACCAAGTGTAGATTATAAGAAAGAAACGTGTGGTATTTACAAACACTCAGCAGGCTGCTGAGAAATTACTCAGCTTCTTCTTTTATGGTCAATTGCTGATTTCAAATTTGAATGTGATGTGAAGGAGTTTGCCAATTTGTATGTTTCACTTCTTATGGTTTCCTTTCTTCCATGTAAGTATGGGTCTGTATCGCTTAAGCGTGTGCTTGGATCTCCATTTTGAGATCAAAACGTGTATTGGAATGTGCAAAACGTGAGTTGGCGGCATGTTTGAAGACGAATGTTTGTTTGGATTAACTTTTTCTCAATCTGATTTAGGGTTTGTTTGGTTGGAGGGAAAATGAACTCCTCATCTTATTTGGTTAAAAATTTTGGAGGGGAGGGCTCCCCTCCCCTCCCTCCCCCCATTTTGGCTCCCCTGCAAATTGGGAGTTTTTGGAGGGGAGCCAAAATTTTGGACCATTATGTCCTTATAGTTTTTTTAATATTCCACTTCTACCCATAAAATATATTATTATAATATTTATTTTAAATAAAAAATATATTATCCTAAGTAAAAAATAAAAAATATATACATTATTATAATTAAAAATTATTTAAAAATTATTTAAAAATAAAAATTATTTAAATAAAAAAATTATAATATTATAAAATTAATTGTTTTTTATAAATATATAATTTATTAAATATATTTTAAAGCTGGAAAAAAAGATAGCCTAAAGAGAATAAAATTTTATTTTTCTTAGAGCATATAAAATTTGTTAATTTGATTATTTTAAATATATTATTATATTAATTAGAATAAAAAATTACTGTACTAATTTTTTAATACACATATTAACATGATAAGACTGAATTTTTATTAAATTATATGATTTAAATTAAGATGTAAATTAATTTATATAATATATCAATAAAAAACATAAACTAATATGTAAGGGTAAAATGGTAAATTGATTATTACTATCCCTCCCCTTCTCTCTTTGAACCAAACAAGAGATCATTAAATACTCTCTCCTCCCCTCCTTTTTAATCAAACCAAACAAAGTGAGGATGAAACCTTCCCTCCCCTTCCCTACCCCTTCCTCCCCTCAAACCAAACAGGCCCTTGCGGGAGTAAAAGCACGGTACCGTAGAAGCCACAAAATGCAACGGTCGGCAGTGGAGAAGTTGTTCTGCCGTCACTGGTCTTCTGAAAATTTTACCGTCCCTTATCTAGCCCTTCTCTCTCATGCCTCTTTCCCATTATCTCTCTGGCCAAGAACGTCTCTGGCTCATGATTATCTTTCGAATCTCTGGTTTTCAACCACCAGGCTCGCTATTGTCTTTTGTTTTTGGTCTTTAGCCACCTAGTTCGCAATCGCCTTCCCGTTCCTATCTCTCACCCCAGAAGAATCATGATGATTGCTGTATTTTTTTTTAAGTGTGGCGGCTTATGGTGATGATTCAGGAGGAAGAAAAGGCAGAGGTGTATGAATGAGGATGGTGGCGGCGACCTCCCTTCTCTGAATCACAACGCACCTTTTTTGTGGTCATTCACTTTTATTATTTATTTTTACTTTTGCTTTGCAATTTTTTTTCCTTATCTTCTTGCTGCTTCAGTGTATTTTGGAGGATGCGGGAATGTTATTGATGTTTTCTCTATTCAATTAACTACAATGTTTTCAATATTCATATTTACCATTGAATATATTTAATTTACTAAAATGTATTTTCAAATTTTTCCTGATAACAATTATTTTTATTTTTATAATTTTAGTAGTTCTAGAATTATCACGTTATATGCATATAATATAAATATGTATTATTTTAATTTTAATTTTTTTTATAGTTATTTTACATCTTTTTTCTTTGCTCTTTGGATAATGAACAAGCAGAGTAACGGAGTAGAATAGGCGGTGGGGGCTAGCGGGCAGCTCATCTTGCCTCCTTGAGCACCCATAGTCATTACCCCCTTGTTCCTCTCAAATTGCCTCTTGCCTTTCTTACTTCTCTTTCTTCCTCAGATGGAGAAACAGCAAACACTGGCACCATTTTTCCTCTCTACATTTTATTTATTCATCTCACTCTTTCTATTGTCTTCTTGCCTATCTTCCAGTCTTTAACGATGCTTCAAAGTAGCGCAAACGGCAAGACTTCTGGCAAATGGTGAGAGCAAAAAAGAAGGGAGAAAAGAAAAGCAACTGGCCAACCCAGTTAAGCCAGTGGTTTACCCATTTTTTATTGGTTTATTCCGAGTTACTCTAGTTTGATCTGCTTTTTAAGTTAAATTAGATCGGATCTCAGACCGGTTCATTGTTTTTTTTGTTGAACCGACCGGTCTGGTTTTTTTTCCTGCTTAATTCTAATTTTTTGGGACAATTCAGTGTAGTCTCATTAATAAATTTCTAATACGTGATTAATCTATAATTCTCTCTTCTATGAGTGCATTAAATTCTCTCTTGTAAGATAAAAAACTAGAGAGGTGATAGAAGGAAAAGGACTATGAAAATACCTAAATAATGGAGAGAACATTGCCAGCGAAGGAAGTTTGAGTGATAAGATGAAGAATGAAAGGGGCGAAGATTAGTTCAGACAGAAAGAGATGCAAGAGAAGGGACGAAAGAAAAAAGAGAGGAAAAAAGAAGAATGACCTGTTCGAAGACCAATTAAAAAGGATGGCTAAAGACTAAAGCATTAATGAGTCTATGCTTAGTACTGAAGCTATGTCGCAGGCCTAGCGTAATTTTTTTTTGGTTCCGGTTTTAATGGCCTTACAATCTTTAACATTACATCTGATTCTTTTTATTAAGAAAAAAAAATCAGACTAGACTTGCCAGTTCAACAGGAAAATCAGTAAACTGTTCTGCAATCTGGTCTGGTTTAATTAGTGAACTGGTGGTCTAATGAACTAGTAAAAAACCAGTTTAACCGGTAAAAACCAGTATTAAATTGGGTTACCAGGTTTTTTTTTTTTTGCTTGGCAAACATCTCAAAACGGCACTGTTTTATTTATTAAAAAAAAAACCTCTCCTTCTCTTTTCCAATTTTCCTCTCAAGTTTCCTCATTTCCCTTCCCTCCCTTGGTTCCTCTCAGGCTTGCATAGCGTCGGCTTTTCCCTCCCTCATACCCAAGCCAAAATCACCTTCTCCAAGATCTCTGCTCCCTAGCGTCATTGACAGCAGAGCCGTTCCCCAACATCGCGGTTGGATTCGCCTTCGCCACTCATATTTGCAGAAGGCAGAACCAAAAGTCAAGTTGCAGGCCTCCACCTCGCAGTCGCATCCCATGTCTGAGGCGCTGAGCTCATAAGTCTCCCTCGCTCACCACGTCTTGCTTGGCCTTCACTACTGGCATATGCAGAAGGCAGAATCGAAACTCGAAAGTTGCAGGTGTCCCTCAAATCCCAATCAGTGTTGTCTCTTTGGTGCTTGAGTTGTGGGTAGGCTCGAAAACTTTTTCTTTCAGCTAGGTTGTGTTTTTAGGATTGAACAGCTGCATTTGTTCCTTCTTTCTCTCTGGCTATCAAAAGGTTTGGAAGGGAGAAGATGAAAATTTTCTATTTGATTCCTGAATATTTGAAGTAGGAGAGGAAAGTAGTTGATGAATTTTTTTTTGTTGAAATAATATAGATTTTGTTTCTTTTGGAGATTGGATGAAATTGATCCTAGATATGTAAAGTATAAATACTCTTAGGGAGTGTTTGGATAGAAACCAAACCATAGTTTCAGAAGTGCTTTTACGGATTACGAAGTAAATATGTGGAGGAGATTACCTCGTTTTGCGGAAAAGTGCTTCTGAAACCACGGTTTTAGACCATCCAAACAGGCCCTTAGCTTAAAACCGAAGAACATACAAATCTACCTGTTTCAACTTTCAAGTATTGATTAGTAATCTTCTAGTCAAGAAAAAAATATTGATTAATAATCAATATGGTATTTTTAATATTGTGAATTAAATTATATTATTTTAATATGACTGGTCAAATCCCGATTCGACCAGTAATTCTTGACTCACTATCTTGATCGGTTTAATCCCCGATCCGGTTTTTTATTCCTTGCTTTTTATCCCCATTAAATATAAATGCATATAATGAAATAAAAAATACAGGAGGAAAGTCCGGCTAAAAGGCAAGTGATTTTTTTTTGGGGCCAAAAGCTAAAAGGCAAATGATGGAGTTTCCGTATTGTTATATATGTCCCATATATATGTATATATAGACACGCACACGTGTGATATTTTTGCTGTTTAAAAAACGAGAAAGTTCTGAATACTATTTTTATTAAAATATTTTATAATTAAATATAATATTTTTTATAACCTCATATTTTTATACCAAATATAATATTTTTAATTTTAGTGATTAAATAATTCTACAAATGAAGAATCTTAATATAGTTATTAAATTATTGTTGTATTTTTTTGTATTTTTTTATTAAGATGATTAATGTTATTATATTTTGTTGTTATGAATTAAATTATATTATTTTTAATATGATCGGTTTGATTCTGAGTTGACCCTAATTTGACATATTACCTCTTGAACTAGTCTCAGTATCCGGCCTGATTTTTTGTACCTTAATATTACGATATTAAATGGAAGGGAAAGCTGGAAAAAGGCAAAATATAGGGACTTTAGTGTGATTTTCTTCTCATAATTGTTTTGAAAACCTAATTATATACCCAAATGTGTTCAGATCATCTCCTCTGCCGAAAGTGAACTCTTCCCGACGCAAAACTTGTTTCAGAGAACAAATCATGGAATTGGCTTAATCCATATATTATGTCACTTTGTTCTTTTAAAAACTTTTTAAAATATTTATATAATTAAACGTAACAATCATTTAATATCATCTTTTCAATTATATTTTTTAAAAATTAATTAAAATAAATATTTAAGAATCAGGCTTTATAATACCCACTCATAATTAATTTTTTTAAAAAAAAAGAAAAATCGTCCCTCCCCCTCTAATCTAAGGTTGCGTTTGGTATAAAATATTTGGAGAGAAAGGAAGGAAGAAAGAGGGATTTTGATTGTTTCTTCTTATTTGGTAACTTGAAATTTTTAAAAGGGAAGGGAAAATTTCTCAAAATTTTTCTTCCCTTACCCTCTAATATTGGGAGGATTTGAAAAAAAAAATAATATTTTGTCATGTTATAACTATTATGACCATGTTTATTTTTAATATTCTTATATCATACCAAACCCTTTTTTTCCCTCTCCAAGCGCTGCTCTCTCATTCCCCACCCCAATCCAAAGCCAATAAAATAACAAACGGATAAGAATTGAAGCATAAAACTATTATTGTTACATATTGTAAGTGTAATCATAACATATAATTTTTGCTAACGGACAAAATTATAGAATACAATTTTATATTAAATGTTATTTATAATTCTATTTTATTAAATATTCTATAAAATTTGAAAAAAAATCTCAGATAAAATAAGGGCAAAATTGTCCATGTTAAAATATTTTTTCTCCCCTCCCCATGTAAACCAAATAAGATAATATTAAAACTCCTTTTCTCCTTTCTTTTTTTATAAATATAAATGAGGTAATATTAAAACTCCTTTCACTCTCTTCCCTTCCTTTTCCCTCATTTAAAATCCCTTCTTTTCATTTCTTTTCGTTGAACCAAACAGACTCTAAGGATTGGTTTTACTTTTGCCTCTAAAATCCTTTCCATCCTCTTTTCTTCAGTCCTTAGATCAATATTTTTATAGTTTGCATTTTATTTTTGGTTTACGGTTGTGTCAAGTATATTGTCATATACGTCCAATATCCTAAAACAATTTGTGAGATGCATCCAGTATTATTAAGTATTTTTTTAGCTACATTTAGCATCTAAATTATTTTTTAATTCATCCAGTACCTTGAACTACAAAATTTTTTCCAGGTGCATCTAACAACTTAAGAAAATACTAAAATAATATTTTATGCTATTTAATATATATTCATTTAACAAACCTTCTAAGGAGTTAATAACAAAATTAAAATTCCTCATAAAATAACACTTTAAATGCACAATTATATTCACTACAAAAAATATGCAATTAGCGATGGAATTTTTATTTGGCGATAGAATTTGTTCCGTTGCTAATTCTTCTGTTATTAATTAGTCATGGATTAGTGATGAAATTTTTTTGTTGCTAACTATTGATGAAAATTTTTTGTCATTAATCCGTCACTAATTAGTGACAAAAAATTTCCATCACAAATTAATGAAGGAAAATTCCGTTGCTAATATGATTCTTGAAAAAATTTAAAATGCCACATGTTGTCACCACATAATTTCTCTTCAAAATGACTTCTCTGTTGCTTGAAGTCGGGTTACTAGTTGAACTACAATGAGCCTATTAACTTATTATGCAAACTTAAACACACACACACACACACATATAAAATATTCTTTTACACAAACAATTATATATATTATTAAAAACATAAAATACAACTATATATTAATTTTAATTGCAACTATTTTACTGAAAAAATAATTTTTAAATATTTGTTTTACTATTTATTTTTATAAAGCTTTATTTTTAAAAAAATATTTTTAATATTTTAATTTCGAATTACAGTAATTTTGAATTTTAAATCATTAATATTGATAAGATATATAATTTAGTTATTTGTGTATTATATTACATTACATTATATTATCTATATATGTTTTATATATTTGATGAAAACTATTTATAATTAGTAAAAAAAATCTTGTTATTCAAAAAATAGCTACTATAATAAAATCTAATCAATTATTCTATATAAAAAATTAAATAATTTGAATATATTATGATAAATAACATTCTTTTACTTATATATGTATCCTATATAATTTATTTTTTTAAAATTTTTTGCATATACCATTTGTTTTTACATTAAAAACCAAAATTAATCTATATCATGGGTGTTAATTATATCATGATTAAATTTTATTGTTTAGTGATTTAAATTCAAAATTCACTTCAATATTAGTTTGATTTATAATCATAAATTGAGGTATTCATATAAATTTATTTTTTGATTTTGAATTTCTATCATATATTACTTCTTTTAATGTATTGTACATATGGTAAAATTATTTCTTTCTTATCAGTTTGCATAAGAAAGTTATTAATATTCTCATTATATTTTTCAATTATTATTTATAATAAAGAGAATTGATTTTAATAAAATATAAACATGTTTCTAAGAAATTGTATTCTTATTCTCAGCATGTATTTAATGAAGACATGAAAAATGACGTCATGATGATAACTTTATTAACACCAACTCCACAAATATATCAATTTATTTTACAATTAAAAATATATTTAAATCATTATATTCTTAATTATGTTATCATATAAATTGTTGTAAGATTATAATCTAAAATAATAAAATTTAAAATTAGTAATGAATTAGCAATGGAATTAGTGATGGAAACTTTCGTGACAAAATAATTTAGTAAGAAAATTAGTAATGAAATTTTTTCGTCGCTATTCCGTTACTAAAAATTTTATGATTAAAATTAGCGTAGGAAATTTCAGATGGAAAAAATTCTATTGCTAAATATTTACTGACAGATTAGTGATGGACAGAAATTCTATCATTAATCTATTACTAATATTAGCGACAGAATTTTGTTACTAATATTAGCGATGGAAAAATTTCTTTTGCTAATTTGTCGCTGAATTTAGTGACAGAATTTTCGTCAATAATCTGTTCAAAATTAGTAATTGAATAATTTTTTATCGCTAATTCCGTAAATAATAAGCTTTTTTTTAGTGATTGTTTCTAAAAATTTAATAGTTCAAGAGAAAAATTACACAACAAAATATTTTAGAGTGCTAGAAGTATCTAAAAAGTATTTTATGCTACTGGATACATTGCAAAAGATTCTTTGATGTTGGCCACACTTGACAAAATATTTCAGGATGTTGGATTGGATGCAGTCTTACCTTTATTTTTAAAATTATTATTAAAAATGTTAAATTATAAAAAGTAAATAAATAATAAAATATAAACTACCAAATTTTAATTTCAACCGTTTACAGACTTTTAAAAATATTTTATAAATAAGTTTTAGAAACACCTCCCTCTCTGCGCACACATGACAGATCTTGATGTTCCATCTTCGAGTTCTAAGGCACTTCTTCCAATGCTTGGTATCCTTAACATTCTCGTTAATTACATTCAAATGATTACTTTTGCAAACAACTTTATGTCTTTATTAGACTATAATAACAAGATGACATTTAACACTGGAGCCAATAGAATACTTTGGGATGCCCAGAACTAGTTCAATCAATATGCAAAATCAAACAATTGAAATTGCAAAAAATACTACCTCTGAATTTCAATATAAAAACTAGTTAAAAATTTAACTTAATCTTAAATATAATATTTTAATATATTTTATTTTTAATACTTATTTTTTCTGCTTTCAAGTAAGTGCTATATTAAGTAGTTTTTATGAAGAATAATTTTAATATATATTATTAATGAGAATATTTTAAAGAAGATAATATTTATTTATTATAAATAATTAATTTAACTAACTTTTAATATCTTTAAATTAGTTATTTAATTTTCATGTTAAGAATCATTGACTTCCAGTTAATGCAATCCATCGTGGCAGGCCGGTCGAAAGCCATCAATGCAACTGCCACACCTACTAAACAACACACTCTGGAAATACAGAGTATGTGATCAAAAGACTTTCAGTTAACGTTTATTTCTTGGCGCCACGAAGTCAGCCTCTAGTCATAAATCACTGGTGGCATTGTGTTTTTCGACCTCTTTGTCCTTGAGACAATTTTCTTACAAGTTTTTTTTTTTTTGTATTGGAGAGAATTTTTATTCAATGAAATTGAGCACTTTTTTTAAATACAGAATTTAAATATTAGTTCCTTATATGGTAAAGCACTTGCCAGACATAACTCCCATTGATATGCCTCCATGGTCTCTGATTTCCCTTGATCAAGTACTCTTACATAATCCTACTAATAGCAAAGAATAGCACATCCATCTACATCATCCCAGCCGGAATATCTTCACAAATTTTAGCTTCATTGCATTGAGCTAATTTTTAGTCCAAGCATTTTCCTATGACTCCCTAATTAACATGTCATCAGTGAATTGGATGTTAAGCAGGTGAAGGTAATAATATATTTTCAGAAAAGGTTGAGTAAAGATTTTTCAGGAATTGTGCGGATACTTTTTCTTTGACCCAGATGCTCCCAGAATTAATTAATTTATGGAGAAAAAATGCGATGCAGCCCACTTTGGATAGAATAAAAACGTGTTTGGATAAAAATCAAATCATAATTTTAAAAATATTTTTATGATATATGAAAGAGTATGTTTGATCCTGTAGAAAAATGTTTTTGTATTATTTTATCTGACCAAACACCCCTGAATATGATAGTACTTGGCTTCAATGCAGGCTTGCAGAGAGTAGCAATGGTCTATGAGTAAATTAACGCGAATCTATGAGATATGTTGTGCGTGTGAGTGTGCGTTATGTTTTGGACTGTCAGGTAGTTTGAGTTGGAAGTGACGAGGCAAGTGGGTTTGAAAAGTCAAAGCCACCGTGTAACTCATTGCCTGACTGGGTAAATAAAATAACCTTTCTTTCCAGGAAATCGCATCTGTTTCTTTCATCAAGTTTGTTTAACTGCAAATTGTTTCTTCAAGATTTTACTCCTTAAATCCCAAGAGAACTGGAAAGAATAGTTAAACAAAGTCAGTCATGAGAGAGAGACAAACCGCTGTATCCAGGGTGACTCACCCACCCACAATCGTCGTCACCTTCCAGTTATTCTTCTTCTTCCAGCTCCTTTCCACCACCGCCTCCTACAATCCTGATGATCATTTCTCAGTCAACTGCGGTTATTCCGGCAATTCGTCTACTCTAGACGACCGGAACTGGACCGGAGACACAGATTTCGGACCGTTCTCCCCGATCGAACTCTCCAACAGCAATAAGTCATCAGTAGGCGACAACGCACCTGGCAAACCAATCCCTTACAGCACCGCACGCTTGTCTCGCTCTGAATTCTCCTACTCGTTTCCTGTGAAGACCGGCGGCCAAAAGTTTATTCGCCTCTACTTTTACCCATCTTCCTACGACCCCCACTTCCTTCACTCCGATGCTTTCTTCTCCGTCAAAGCAGGGCCTCACACCCTCCTTAAGGACTTCAACGCTTCACTTAACGCCGGCGCCGCCGCCGGCGCTTATCTTAAACATGCTGCCAGAGAACAAGGAGCCATCTTACGGGAGTACTGTGTCAACGTTGACTCAGGTCAGAGGCTGCACATAACCTTCACGCCCAACGAATCTTATCCAAACGCCTACGCTTTCGTCAACGGGATTGAGATCATCTCTATGCCCCCCTTTCTTTACTACACCAGACCTGATGACCCGCGATCTATGTGGCTAAGTGATGAAAACAAACAGTTTCCGGTCCAGAACAGCAATGCTCTGGAGACTCTGTACAGAGCTAATGTTGGCGGAAGTCGGATCGGTTCCAATAAAGACACAGGCATGTTTCGTTATTGGGACGTGGATAATGACTACTTGGAGAGGGAGCGATCGCGCAGTATTTCAGCAGGTTTTGGTTTGCATCTGGTGTATAGAGATGATCAAAATTATTTTGCACCTGATGACGTATACAGGACAGCCAGAAACTATGGGATGAACGAAACGTCCAAATTTAATGTGACTTGGGAATTTGAGGTTGACTCAGAGTTTTTTTATATGGTGAGATTGCATTTTTGCGAGTTTGATGAACACATTGAAAAAGCTGGAGACAGAGTTTTCCGAATCTTCATAAATGATGCTTTGGTGGAGTCTGTCGCTGATGTAATGTCGTGGACTAACCATCAGAGAAATGTTCCTGTGCATAGGGACTATGCGGCGTCGATGCAGGGCAAGGGGAGCTTGAAGAAGCTGAATCTCTCAATTAAGTTGCAACCAACCCCTACTGCGAGAAGCACTTACAGAGATGTTTTATTGAATGGTATTGAAATTTTGAAAATAAGTGACTACAATGATAATCTCGCGGGTCCTAATCCTAATCCACCTCCATCTCCCCCACTAACATTCTCAAAGTCATCAAAGAACGGAAACAAAGCAAAGGTAATTTCCATTATGGCTGGGGCAACATCAGGCTTCATCGCGCTGTCTCTTATTGTTCTGCTCATTTTCCTGCGATTCATTAGAGCTCCGGTCAAGGAAGGATCTTCATGGTGGGGAAAAAAATCGGTAGACTCGTCCAACAAAAACAAACCCCGCGGGTCATCATCATTACCGTCCGATTTGTGTCGCTACTTTTCTATAGATGAGATAAGAGCAGCCACAAGTAACTTCGACGATGTTTTCATTGTGGGGGTTGGAGGGTTTGGTAATGTCTATAAAGGCTATATTGATGACGGAACAGTCCCTGTGGCCATCAAACGGCTCAAACCAGGTTCCCAACAAGGCCTCCGTGAGTTCCAAACTGAGATCGAAATGCTCTCTCAGCTTCGTCACAATCATTTAGTTCCTCTCATTGGTTACTGCAACGATGGCAACGAGATGATCCTCGTTTACGAGTTCATGGCTCGTGGGGCCCTCCGTGACCATATTTATGATTCTGACAACCCTCCACTTTCCTGGAAACAAAGGCTGGCGATGTGCATTGGTGCGGCGCGTGGACTTCATTATCTTCATACTGGTGCGAACCGCAATATAATCCACCGTGATGTGAAATCCACAAATATCTTAATAGATGAGAAATGGGTGGCCAAGATTTCGGATTTTGGACTATCCAAGATAGGACCCACGGGGTTGTCCAAGTCTCACATAAGCACGGTGGTAAAAGGAAGTATGGGCTACTTGGACCCAGAATACTATAAACGTCAAAGGTTGACTGAAAAGTCTGACATTTACTCTTTTGGAGTTGTATTGCTGGAAGTATTGTGTGGGAGACCTCCTTTGATACGTAACGTGGAGAAGCAGAAGCTAAGTTTAGTGGAGTGGGTTCGAAAATGTCATCACGAGGGTGTGATCCATCAAGCGGTTGACCCGTTCCTGGTAGAAAGTATCACACCAGAGTGCTTAAAAGCGTTTAGCGACATGGCCCTGAAATGTTTGGTGGAAGATGGAAATGAACGACCTTCGATGAACGACGTCGTGTGGGGCCTAGAATTTGCGTTACAGCTTCAAGAAGGGACAGAGGAAGTGGGGCTTCTGGTTGATGAGGGCGAAATTGAAGGAAAGAGCGAGGAAAGGGCTCTGATAAGGAAAACGACAAATGTGGAAGAAAGAGAAAGCAAAGTGGGTTTCACGAGCAGTGATGAATCAAAAGGAAGCAGGTTGACTAGTTCAAGCAGTGAAGATCAATCTTTAGTTTCTGGATTGATCTTCTCCGAGTTGGGTCATCCATCGGTTCGATGAAGAAGTAATCCGGTGGTATTTGCTAGGTGATGAATTTTAATTTCGTCCTTTTCCAAATAGTAACGACGTCGTTGTACTGCAGTGTGTCTTTTACGGCAACTCTGTACTTTTATTTTCTATCTGTATAAATATAAAATATGCAAGCAGAAAATTAAATAATTACTTCTAAAAGTACGCATGATTACCAGATGAGATCACACTTCTCAGATGCAATACAAGTCTTTCAGAGTATGATTTTTATATATCTCTCCCAATTTAATAATATATGACTACGAAATCAAGGGTTCGATTATCTGGGAAATCCTTTCAGACTATTCGTAACCAGCTGTTGGCTGGTGGAAAAAAAAAATCCATAATCCATAGTTCTCACTCGTTGGAATTTAATGTTATTTTATTATGTATATTTTTATTTTAATAAATAGAAAATTTATTATTTAAAAATTATTTTAGACCTCTAATATTTATCTTTTTAATGAAAAAATCTGTATTTTTTTAATTATTTACTGCAAATGAAAAATTATGCATCCAAACCCATTTATAATTTTAGACCTCTAATATTGATCTTTTTAACTAAAAAATCTGTATATGTGCAACTGTGTATGGATGGCTCCATGGGAACTACTTTTCCATTTTTGATGTCACATCATTGACTGATTCAAAAAGCTTGCACCTTCCAAGCAAGTGGCACGAAAAGTAGATGGTACTCAATGTGGCTCTTTGTGGTTTTGTTTTATTTATTGTTTTGAATATTTAAATTGTTGGGGTTGGCCGCCCTTTCTATGCAGAGAAAAGCCTAATATTTAAAGTGTCTTTTGAGTCTCACTTATTAAGGTGGGGATGGATAGATTAGGGTTAAAAGGTGAGGCATCATTTTGAGGGCAAAAGCAGCCATATGAAGAGAGGAAAAAAGTTTGTTAAAAAAAAAAAGAAGAAGAAGAAGAAGAGAGGACAAAAGGGAAAGTTATTTTCACATCTTCACATGGCAATTTCAGTAAATAGGCATTTATGTATTAGTTAATCATTAGATCCTGCTGAAACTTGATCAGTAGGTTCGTAACATCTAGCGCGTGATCAAATCATCAATTCCTTACCTGGTGTGAGAGATATTGAGTTTGTCCTACAGCTTCATTCTCTATTATAAGCTTATAGCTTTAGTTGTTAGGTTGGTCATTTGTACTTGTTTACGCATATGGTTGGTTGTGAATTTTTTTTTTTATCTGGACGACCCATGATTTTTACCCTTGCATTGAGGGGTTTTCTTATCTCTTATACTCTTTAATTTCTGCCATATGTTTGTTTTTTTTTCCCTAGAACATTCTTGCAAGTAGTGAGAAAATGTTTTCGCTGTGTGTAACTCTCAGGTTTAACTTGTGTGTTCTTCTCATTATAATGACATCAGAGCCAGGTTCTCAGGTTGATTGGTTGCCTGGGTGTGAGGTTGTCACATTGGCTTATTATTGAGTTCTTTGACTTTCTTGAATGATGTAACATATACAAGTAGGATAGTTTCTTTAAATGGTAGTAATTATCATCTATGGAAGGACAAGATGAAAGATTTACTGTTTGTTAGGAATTTGCATCTTCTTGTGCTTGCTATTCAAAAGCTGAATTCTAAGTCTGATGAGATTGGGATTTCCAATATTAGCAGGTGTGTGGTTTTATTCAGCAATTTGCATATGATAATGTTTATAATCATGTTGCTAATGAGACAAATGCAAAAACTTTGGGGAGAAGATTGAGTCCTTGTATGCCCTTTCAAGTTAGAAAATAACAATGGTTTTGTTTGTTTGATGAATTTGAGATACAAGGATGGGATTTCCATTTCTAATGACTTGAATTAATTTCAAGAGCTCTTGGATCAATTGTTAGGAATGGATATCAAGTTTGAAGATGAAATTTTGGGATAATGGCTTCTTAATACTCTATTTAAGTCTTAGGAGACATTTCGAGTTTTTATTACAAACTAAACCCCTAATGGTGTTATCTCTTTCCAAATAACAAAGAACAGTGCTTCTAATTAAAAAAGTGAGAAAGAAGGCACATGGCTCTTCATCTCAATTTGAATTGTTGATTACAAAAAATAGGGGGGAGAAATTAGAAGGAAAAACCAAAATGTAGTAGAGAAAAGAATAAGGGCAAGTCTAAGTCGAGACATAAGGATGTAAAGTATCATTATTGTCATAAAATGAGGCATATTAAAAAGAATTGTTTCTAGTGAAAAAGGGAGAATAAAGATAAGAAGGATGAGCAGAAAGACAAAGGCCAAGATGAACGTGTCAATACTGCTATCAATGATGATCTAATTATTCTTCATGATTGTGACACAGTTAATTTTATATCAAATGAAAGCATGTGGATTGTAGATGGTGGTATTACATTGCATGTCACACCAAGAAAAGAGTTCTTCACATCTTACACATTTGGTAACTTTGGGGTGTTAAGAACAGATAATGGTAGTGTGTTTAAGGTGGTTGGTGTTGTTGATGTTTGTTTGGAAACAAACATGGAAATGACAACATGGTGACATTGCTATATTTTTAGTACTTTTAAAGTGACATTACTTCTAAAAAAAACATTTCAAATACTCTCAATTCCTGAGCAAAAATTTTCAGAATAAAATTGGACCTCAAACCATAATATAAATGTTAGCAAATTACAGTGAAAGCCTCACAACAAGTCTTAATACTACTTCTGGTCTTTAACACATAAGAACTAGTTTGACTTTTAATTTAGTTTTAAATATAATATCTCAATCTACTTGATCTCACGTATTTATTTATTTTTTCTAAAGCAATTCTTGTAATATATAGTTGCACATGTTAAATATTCTATCAAATGGTAGTTCTAACTATTACATATGATTATTAAAGATATTTTAAGAAAGACAACACCTATTTATTATAATTAACTAACTTAATAAACTTTCTTAATTTACTTAAATTAGTCAGCTAACTTTTATATTAATGATCGGAGGTAGTATTAAAGTTGTTGTAACAAATATTAATTTTTGAAAAAAGCCATAACATAAATCAAACTATCTCAAGAATTCTTCAAATTCATGAGCCACAACTAACAAGTCTTTTTTTTTTTTTTTTTGCTTCACACAATCATTTTCAACATTTGAGTTATTTGACATAAAATCTGATAAGGAGTTATTTAGCTAATTGTTGCTCGAGTGCTTCCAATCTAGACACGATGTTCATGTTCTGTCCCCCGTGTTCTTGATTCTCTTAGATAAGTTTTGTGGCTATCCTTCTATGTAAATCCTTTTCAAAATCAAAACGGAGCGTTGAACTGTTGATGGAAGAATATGTCCCATCATTGCCCCCCAAAAAAAAAAATCAGTTTCACCTGCCACATTATGTTAACTAGCATTTGGAAAATTGTGTTTTTGAAGATTGATTCATAGGTCTTTTGGTCAAACTGTAACTTGGGCTGTTCATGTGATAAGACCGGATTATAACCAGCAGGCCGAGATAGGAAGGCCTCGTCTTTTTCTTTTTTTTTCCCTTTTTTTACTTTCTTAATTTGAAAACTGTACATGGAGTATAGAAACTGATGATAAATACTATACAAAAAAAAAGGTAAACATTAGATTAAAAAAATTGGCACTAATCGAAATTTTGACAAAGAAAAAGTTTTCTATGATATTAAGAGACAAAGAAATAAATAAACTTAAAATATATCCTAAAAAATCACATAACCCATACAACACAATTTGTAAACAACATAATCAAAATAACAATTAATAAATATGATTCCAATAATATTATAATAGTGATAAAAATAAATTTATAAAATAAAAAAGAAAGATAATATTTCAGTTGTCAAAAGAGACTGAGATAAGACAACCGCGCCACATAACACCTAACACAGTTGAATATCCCAAACCATCACAGTAAACTAGAGAGTACATCCTCTAACTTTTTCTCTTTTAAATCTAAGTGTTTTTCTTCCGTTCTTTCCAGCATGAGCGTGTGAGAGAGATTTTAGAATGGGGAGACACACATATATACATAGAACACACTCACACACTATTTTTTTTTTTTTTGACCTTGCACACACTAAATTTTACATGTTAAATTAGTAGAAAAATTGTTTTTAAATATACACTACAACGATAATGAAATTGAAATTGGAAATATTTACAATGGACTGTATGACATGAATTCCCCTAGAAATTCAAGAAATACACAAATAAAATATACTTGAAAATAATAAAAGTTGATTAGGTAAAATCCTAAAAGAACTTACCTCCAAATTCATAGCTATAAAAAGGCTTTCCAAAGAGCTGATCAAACTCTTACAACTTAATTGTATTCTACCACGAATACAAAAACAAAAGTAAATATATGTCAAAGAAAATTTTCATTTATAACTTGAAAATAATTGCATACAATTGACTCTTAAAATAGACAAAACTCCTAAGTCAATTTCTCTTTCTCCTGAACTAAAAGATGTTCTTGTTTGGAGCACGTACAATTACAGGGTGTAGCCCAACGAATTCAAATGCTCGGGAAGGCGGAAAGTCCAGGCAAGGCCTAATTGCTGCTATAGATTTATTATCCTAAAAATCGAATTGACTAGAAAAGCAAGACTCTAAATATTAAAATTAATCTAAAAATATATAATATTATTAGGATAAGATTGTTATCTATTCAAATTTAATCCCTGAGATTCCTATTCACCAACACATATTTCTAAAACAATACTCCCTCCGGTTCAAAATATAAGTTAAACTTTGTTGAATGGGCTTGTTTTTTTTTTTCTCCCCTAAGATAACATTGACTTCTGTCAAAGTATTTATTGAGTTTTTTTTTTTCAAATTTTACTCACATATATTCTCTTTCTTTTTTGATTTATTTATTGCATTTTTACCATTCTTTTCATTAATAAGGGCATATTTTAGGAGAAAAATACATGCCTTATATATTTAGTATTTTAAGGTGATTTTAACTAGTTTTTTTATAAACATAAATGGATAAAGTTTAGCTTATATTTTAAATTGAGGGGAGTATATGTAATGGATAATTTGTAACAACTCAAAAGTATAATCCACATACTTAACAAAAGTACTTCATAAATAGTTTATAAGTATTTCTAGTGTTCAATCAATCAAAAAGAGCATGGGCATGTCCAAACGACCCAGCATGTCATAGTTTCAAAATAAATCTTTAAAGTATTTTAACAAAATAAAATAAAAAAGTCTTAGGGTCATGACAAATAAAATAAACATAACATGTGTTGAATGAGCCAAAAAAAAAAAAAAACCT